TCAGCACTAGCCTGGGGTAAAACAGGGTCTGATTGCGTAGTAACAACAAACTTATGCATATCAAATCTAGATCCAAACGAACATAACGGATAGTAACAAAAAATAAAAAAACAATTCTCTGAAGCACTTGATAGAACTGAAAAGTTGAACTTTTGTAATATTTCTGTTATGTTCCGTTTTAGTTTTGAGTGTCATGTTGGGATATTTTGGTCAGTTTACCAAATTATGCCCACGTGTCGTTGATGTTGGCTTTTCTCTGGTTTCTTAGCCCTTCGAATCTTGGAAACCCTCTCCGTGCATTTTCTTTTAGGGAACTGTTGAGAAGTTTTGCGACGGGTACTGGTAGAATCAATGTAGGGCGTAACATTTGGGGATGCTTTTTACTAGTCAGTTGTCTCAGTCCCCGATCTCACACTTCAACTTCTTTATGTTGCCCAGTTTAGCGCGAACCCTGTCAGATGGCTCCCCTCTGATATATTGCCGTGGGTGTTTTCGTGTTTGCCTCAATCGATACTCCTTTATCGTCGTCTACGGCCAACTTACAGGCAATAAGCCTCTGTTCCATTTGGGAACAACAATGGGGCAAAGGCTGCTTATTATTGCCTCTTTTTCCTCCCTCTCTTCTTATGCAGTGTGCCCTTTATGTATGTATGATTGCCATCTCTCTCATAATCAGGCAAGGGGCTTGGTTGGCTGATATCGGTCTGAATCGTGGCTTTTCAACTGGTTCACATCGCAAGGTGATTGATAGGTGGCTGGCTCTTTATTCAGTCATCTATCAGACCATCTTTCTTACTTTAAATTCTGTACCGGCTATATTTCTTATGTGGTCGTTGCGGGCTGAAGGAGCACTTTTCGGTGGTGGCAAACCTTTTCGAGCTGAGTAATTCAGCCCTTTTTGGTCGTATCTGTTCCTTTCTCAGTTCCTTTGAAATGTTTTTGTGACTTCCGTAATTTCTACTGAGCTACCATTACCGCCTTCCCGGTTAGTCATACTCTAGCCAGGTCTCCTTTCAATAATGCCGACTGTATACATTTGTAATAAATCGGCATGCACGACTAGTTCTCCTTTTATGTAATGACTTCCATTTCTCACTATTTTCTAAAGGCATCTGTTCATTGTCAGAGTTTTAGTGAGTCTGTCTTCAAATCAATAGGAAAAATGTTGTCTTACGATGCGGTTTCGTCAGCAAAAATATTAGCTTCCGTTCATTCAGCAGCATTCATTCGAGTGTGTCGCTTAATTCTTCGTCGCTCCTACGTCTCTTTCTATAGATCGATATTTGTAAACGTGAAAGATTTTTCTTTAATCCTTTTCTTTTTCTNACTAGTTCTCCTTTTATGGAATGACTTTCATACCTTGCTATTTTCAAATGAATCTCTAAATTGACAGAGTTTTAGTGAGTCTCTCTTCAAATCAATAAGAGAAATGTTTTCTTACGATGCGGTTCCGTCAGCAAAAATATTAGCTTCCGTTCATTCAGCAGCATTCATTCGAGTGTGTCGCTTAATTCCTCGTCGCTCCTACGTCTCTTCCTATAGATCGATATTTGTAAACGTGAAAGATTTTTCTTTAATCCTTTTCTTTTTCTTCAGAGTCGGTTGTTTTCCCTACATCAAATACCACTGCACGAAGAGGCCAGTTCAGGACCTCAGCGCTGAGAACAGGCTCTATCGCCTCATCACAGTTGTGAATCTGGGTGAGTGATTTTTCAGAATATACGGTGATACTATAGGCTATTGGATTCTTGAATGACGATTAGTTCTCAGTAACAGCTAACTTCCCTTCTTCAAAAGATAAAGAGGCTTCGCTATTGGCTCTAACGCTGGCGTTAGATATTATGCAACGAATAAATCCCGTAGGCTTATGTGAAGGTATGGGAAACTCTCCTGGGATAGTTGAGACAGGACTTTGAAGCATACCAGAAAATTTCAACCGATTAATATGATTAGAGTCATGTAATCAATATTTTCCTACTGGTTCACCTCAGCCTCTGAATCTGTAGGTTGGCTTTTTAAGGAAATCTGAACCTACAGAATCTTTTGACTATAAATGGTGTAAATTCTTTCCCCATTCAACTCTTTGTGACGTCTATTTCCAGAATTCCATGGGTTATNTCGTTCAGGTATTCCATGTGTGTTATACGGCCTGGCAGCGATCGCACTGATCAGGCATACCGAGACAATTGAAGACGAACAGACGAGGAAGATTGTCCGCATACACTTTCTCATCAAGGAGGATCATAACTGAGTAAGTTTCACTTCCTTTTCTGCCTATCAAGAAAACGTCAAGATAAAACCTATTTGGCAAATCAGAAGTGGCCTGATGTACTGCGAATCAACAATGGATTCTTTAGGTTTGGAAATGAACCATTGGTAAATACGTGGCTGTAGATGGGTGAATATTCAGATTTGTTGCTTCTAGCTTACACAGCCGCTCGAAATAGTACCTACACACGCCGATGCTCTTGTGGGTGGTTACATTCCCCATTGCGAAGTGCAGCAGTTAGTGCCGGGGGATCCGAATGGCACAACCTCTACCATAGTGAGCTACAGAAATGAAGAGGAAAGCAGTACGGTCAAATGAAGGCTTGATCATTGAGCCTCCGAGAAGTACCGATGGAACTGGCTAGAAGTTAGACTAATAACTTTCTCATTATGCCCGAACGATCAGTTATGAGGTTAAACGAAAGAGGCAGGTCTGCAGTCATTATTATGGAAACCCATTTCGTATTGCATAGACTTGCACCTGTTCATTATGCAGATACGGGCGAACGGGTTCCCCGTTGATTGTAATTGAAGTTCCTACTCGGAGTGAACTTACAACGATTAGATCCTAATTCATATTTTCGTCCGCTTTCGATTTGATAGTGCCATTTGTGAAAAAAAAATCGTTTTTAAATAAATACTCATTCCTTTTATTCAAACATGATTTATTAGTGACTCTAAGTCGCAGCCCGTCAGCACTGTACCTTGGAAGGTGCAGATGCAAGCGTGATATGATCTGATCTGGGTGAACCGGTTGGGGTTGGAATGGGATCGTTTGAGCAAGAGAGTTTAGTGGTAAAGGCTGTGCACCTTGAGGAGGATTTCGAAAACTGGAGTCGTGGGTTCCTAGGCCATATGGTTTTTGAAGCGCGGTTGCAGCAAAATGTTGAGTTGTCCAAAACTATCTGTTAATCAAAATGTTTATTAACAATGAGAAAACCTTTATACTCAACCTATTTCAGTAATGCATGCATGCATGCAAAAAACCACACTGTTTTCTGTAAGTTATAAATGTTTGTAATTTTCTATTTTCTAGTCGTTTAGCTAGAAGCTGCTCTGAATAGTCTAGGACTTAACCCAGCGTTGTGATGTCTACTGAAATCTTTTATTATTTGTTAAATTTTACTTTGTAGATTTATGTTAATTACAGTTTCCCTCCGACTTCAGTATGGTAGCACCATCCTGTTGTCTTGAGTATCGACCGACACCAACATTCTGGGCCATTTTGGTCTTGGGTGTATTCCCGTCCATCTATCTTGCTGGGAAGGTACGTTGGGCTTTTGAATCGTCTGGTGCTTTGACAACTTGAGTATAACTATCTTACGTTGAGTTTCAGGTTGTTGGTACAGTGATTACAGTACTATTCCGTGTCCTGCGGGGAATATTAAAATTTTTGTTATGGGATGACGAAGACTATGAGGAAGAGCTAGAAACACGTCGGTTGGAGATGCGGGCGATAGCGATGCAAAAGGAAGAAGAGAGGATCAAACGACGACATGAGCGTACACTTAAACGACTTCAAGCTACTGTCGCTGAAAGCAGCTTGAAAAATGAAAAGGTACTATTTAGTTGATGGTCTAGAAAGTTCCGGAACATGACCGTAACCCTAAACTCGAGAATCTTAGCCCTCGTTTTTGACTTTTTTCCCAACATTCATTCGTTTCTCATTTAGAAACCCCTTTTGCACCGTTGCAATCGAAGAATTTGCAGAAAAACTTGCAAAACCTCTTGAAAAACACCAATCTAATTTAGTGCTGCTGATTGCCCCAGGCCCTCATTTCGTAGCAGAAGATTTTTGCAGCCAACTTGAGCCTTTCATCAATATACGCAGAAAAATTCGAGTTCTGGTGGAAAGTGGTGTTGAATAGGGACTGTATAGGGGCAGACGGGGAGGGGGGGAGTAGTTAAGTCGTTTATAATCATCCTGTTGAACCCGGGGTTTCTACTAAAGGATTTTATCTGGTTTTTTGCAATAAAGTAACGATTGATAGGTCTTTATTGCTTAATGTAACCTTCTTTTATCGAATCACAAAACGAGTAGTTTCAGATAACTACACTGTTGGCAAATGGCTTTCCTCGAAATGGAAATGTGAAGCATACCGCTCCGACCGATGATATCAGCGAATCGTTGAATTCTGAATGCGATACCGACGAGCACCGAGTAGCTCTACAAGTAAACGGTTCTGCTCCGACCAGCACCGAAACGACGGCTTCTGTTGACGGTAACGGCAACCATCCGGATATCTCGGATCCTGAGACATCGATATTTACAAACGGGCATGTCAACCGCCCGGATATTCTGGATCCAGAGACGCCTATACTAACAAATGGACATGTCCACCGCTCATATACCTTGGAAGCGGAGACGCCGATACTCTTTAACGGTCATGTCACCCGTTCGTATACCTGGGATGTGGAGACGCCGATCCTCACGAACGGCCATGTCAACCGCCCAGATGTCTCGGATCCAGAGGCACCGATGTTCCCAAACGGCAACGTTACCACCACCACCGTCACTGATCCTGATGGTCCAGGCGTTGGGACAACGACGATCGTCACCAATACATTGTATCATCGCAAAAGTTACAACCATTAAGTCACTTCTTTATCCGGTTATTTAGTTGTAGCGATATTCCCAACTGGCTACACTGTTAGAATCTTGGAGAAAACTGACAGAAGTCCTCGATTTTCAGTAGTTACTCCACTAAGTCTTCTCTTAACTACGGGCTCGTTTCCTCATTGAATCGTCACAGATCTCATCGATTTCTCAGCGAAATCGATTCATTCGATCTACATTCTCATCCCCCGGTTTATACTTTTCCACTAATCAAGCTTTGAACCATTTGTGCTAGAATGACTACCGATTTTCCGGCGTATATTTGTCGTTACGTTTTATTACATTAAGTAGAGTCCTTTTGGGTTTACTGTACGTTACAGTACTATATCGGCCTTCCTTCTGCAGTTGATCTGCAATTATATCTTCTCACAAAACCTGTTTAGAACGTTGACATCATACTTCATCGTGTTCACGTGTTTCGGTGCAATTCAGTGCTTTAGCTATCCGTTTAGATCACTGTTACCGTGAAGTACTGTAATAAATGTACATACATAAATTTTGTGTTTAATATGTGATGAATACTATGCCCGACATACATGGATTTCAAGCGCGCGGTCGCGAAGCGGTCACCATAGAATTCCACGGTGGTCTGTTGATCTTGAACTCTATCTGTTAAATTTGTCAGTTGTTGTTCAGTGATGAGATGATCAGAAAGGAAAAAGGAAACCCTAGGGCTACTTAGGAGTTCGAACGATTCAGGGGATTCGGATCAGACTGCTGAGCTAGTGGGTGGATGTGGGGTCGTAGCAAGTTGTTTTCCATGCCTGCAACGTTTAGAGGAGAGTGAAGTAGGGTGCAATTGTCTCGTACCAGTAACGGTCTACTACATGGCTGGGTAAAACTGAAATACTGGGTGCGCAACCTGCTCGAATTGCAGCTCAGCATTGAAGTTTTGGTATGGAACAGTAATATTTTCACGTAGGATATGCCCTTCCTTCATATTTATTCCAGTGTAAGATGAGCACTAAAGAAGGGTCTGCAAAATTTAATAATAACTGGGAGGATCTCCGTCACCGTACAGCTAGCAAAGAAGGAACCGTTGCTGGGTGAAGACCCACCGAAAGAAGAAACTACTAGCAGGCTTGCTTTCGAGCCAAATAAGGAAGTGCGCAGGGTGCGGAATATGGGCAGAAAACAATAAGGTATATGAACAATTCATCTTAGTGGAGGTCGGCTCAATTTTATGGTTTTTCACCTGAACCACCTGCCGCTCCGTCAATCTCTTTCCTAGAATGGATTTCAACTGAGTCTCTATTCTCAGCGCTCAATCAAACCATTTTTAGGGAGTTTTCTGTGCATATATTCTGAACCAGATCTCTTACAGTGGCCCGAAAGCGGCTAGGGCCTTCTTTTTCGCATGGAACTTCCGTATTCAATCAGAAGCCAACTGTATTACGTTATGGTAATTTGATGGAATCACGGTAGGGTGGGGAAGGGAGATTAGGGGGATGGAAGAGGGAGGGCTCGTACTAATGGGAGTTGAATGGTATTCTCCCTCAACTCTTTAGTTTTACACCAACACCGAGCTCTATGTTTCTAAGAAACCCGTAAGGAAAGGAAAGGGTTTTTTAACATGTGGGAATTGCTTTGAGGGAAACTCTCACCAACTAATAAATACAGACTTTTTTGTGTCTGCGATTCCAAGTGAACAGAGCCTGACAGAATCAAGAATAGTGAGGTGGAGCTTCATTGCGGAATATCTCACTGTAGTGGGTAAGTCCTCGGAAACCACTGACTCGAACTTCAATCGCTCATGATGCGTCTATAGTCGGCGAATTTGTGGCTGCCGCAACCAGTGATGTCCCCAAAGGGTCCATGAAAAGGAAAATACCGATACCGAACATATCCGATCAAATATACCGATCAACGTCAGTCGGTTATTAGGCATTATCACCTGCTGCTCGTTGCAAGTATTATGAACAAACCATTCCTTTGAAGATATTTGAGCAGCACTCTGTCTCACCATTGTCTGTAAATTGCGTTTCGGGACGCTCTGTTTCTGGACTGCGCCATACACTATACTTCTATTTAGAATCGTGGCGACGGTTGAATGAATGCGGAATACATTATACAGTGACTTGCACTGGCCGGCCTATCTACAAGTTATTGCTTTTATTTTCCCGGATAAGTGCCGTACATACCCATTGATACTGATCGATCGTTAAGGGATGGATCCTTGGATGCCTATATTTTGTACTGTACACCTATTTGTTTACTCAAAAACCACAAACTTCGTAAACATTACATGCATCTAGAGAGAAAACTTTATTAATTGACAAATAAATTTTTCTGTACCGAGATCATGAACAAACCGTACCTGTATGGCACAACATTGCACATAACGTCATCGGAAATGTCAATGCTATATAAAAAACAACACAACAAAAGCTTGAGGGAAAAAACGAGCAGCTTGTCGACTATTTACAGAAAAATCAGCTTGGAATGATAAATTTGATAAGTGCAAGATGAGTGCCGCTGATTTCACATTAATTGACGTCATGGGAGTTGTCCAACGAAACCTTCGGCTCTTTAGGTCAAACAACACTAGGATGGATGGGAAAATAGCGTTGTTGCTTCGAAAATTTCATTCATAATGACACAGAAAGGAGCTGCCCGTTTTCGTTTGCTTAAAATGCATCAGTATTCTCATCTGTGGAGAATTTTGCCCTCCACCTCCTGATAAGGTCGACTCATTGAGAAAATACTTCAAAAGAAAGCGATATGAAATGAATAGTGTTGATGATACGTGTAACCGTTGAGATGAGTTGTTATGAAGAGCCTGCGACCACCAACTTTTGCCGATCGGACGACGGTGGTTCGAATAGATCATCTTCAGAATCAGAATCGACGGCCAATGCTGTTCGTTGTAAATCTTTTGCCGACATCAAATCATATTTTCGTACTCGGCTTCGGCTTACTCTGGATCTGAACATGGAATAAATACCTCTCAGAAGGGAAACTTTCAAAGGTAAAATCCTCTATGTAGCTGCAATCTAGGAATCCATCTAACCATAAGGCATATTTCGCGAGTGGAAGGAATCAATCTACACGAACCGCCTTTATAGTGGTAAGTTCTTAGAATTCAATTGGCAGTCCCTGTTGGTGGGTGGGTCCCTCTTGGTTGAGTTACTAGACGTTTCACAGGAGGATAACCATTTAAGAATTCGCGACAATTGTCAACTACGTACGGCGAATGTTCCCGCCCCCATATGCCGTACGGAGTTGGTGCCTTTAGGGTCAGGGGCTAAAGGAGGGGCTTGTTGGTCTTAACTAAAGCTGAGCACTCCACAATCCCTTTTTGATTGTAAAATAACAATTTAGTTTCTTAGCTATTTATGTAAATAAATCATAGTCGACCTTTTATTTGCCTGCTACTGTTTATCGAGAACGAGAGTGAAACTGTTTAGGGATTAATTAAGGAAGGAATAATAGAAAGATAAACCAGGGCAGCCAATAAAAGAGGTGATGAAGAGAAACATTCCCTAGGGGCAATCGAGTTGCTAAATTATTCAATCGGAATATGACCAGGAGTTGGCCTTCCTCAGATGATTACTGTTTCTGAAGGGTGAGCTCCACGTGGTGCTCTGCCTTTCTCTGTAGTTTGGTAGTGCCTCTCGGGAATTTTTTACAAAAAAACAAACCTGCAGCATAATATGACGCAATAAATTGATATGAGAAAGCAGATTCCACCAATTACTATGAAAGCGCGGACGATAGCACTGTCATCCATATCGAAAGCTCCGTACTTATGAAGAGGCAATGCCGTTGTTGACTTTGATGATGGTGTCGACGACATCACCTACAAAATAGGTTGAGTGAATAAGAAATACTACAGTTTAAATATTAGACAGATCCTGAACGACGAATTCAACGACATGGGCAGAAATTAGAAAGAAAAATGTGGATGGCAAAAGAGGTAAGAAATCTGGGGACATTATACAGAGGGGCCGAAGAGACGGACAGTAACCCTCGACGCTGGCATGTCGAATACTGAGAGCTAAGTTTCATCTATGCCTCCTGCTTTTAGGGGGCATGAATCGGAAAATATATCAAACAATGCCCTTATAAAGGGGACTGGAGAGATTTTAAGAAAATGTTGTGATTTTGTAACCAAGTTCAAAGAAACCTAGACAATACTTTCGGCAGTGGGAATATCTCTTTGAGAAACAGGTTTTGCCTGCATGACGCAGACGAATAATGGCGTTCTGAGAGTAGCAATAATAGATGATCGCCAACTACTAGTTTACAGCCTTTTGATTTGTTTTTAGCGCACAAAGCGAATTGGCTATCAATGATCAACATCACAGAGAATTTCTAGACCATAGTACTTGCATTGATCGCTTATTCATTCANTATTATTACCAATGGAATTCATCTCAAACATAAAAGGCAATAGTCAAAACAAGATATGTATTTATATTGTATTTTCCTTCTGCCATTACTCAAATAGTTTGTAAAGGGCGAAGGAGGAGCTAGTAGTGCACTACCACACACCATGACCCGGTATCGATTCTCGGACCTGTACCCGCTCAGGCCGACTAGACTTTCCATCCCTCCGGGGCCGGCTAATATATAGGCACCAGATTCATGTTAGAGGATAAAAGCATCGAGTTGTACACCATCTAAGTATTTGAATAGGCCAATACGCCACTACGGTCCTGAACTGAAGTCGAAGGCGGAGAGCATCTTTAAAGTGTGATTGCTACCGCGAAAGGCTTCTTTCTATATACCCTATGAGGAAGAAAGTTTGATACGATGAGGGAATGGAATAAGGAGGAGGAACAATCATGAAACACCCGAACCCATTTCCTGATACCATGGCATATTCATGGGATCGGCCGAGAGTTTCTCATGGATTGGCATTATTCCTTATTATAGTGCCACACAATATATGGGAACAAAGAAATCAGGCAAACAAATGGAAAAAATCGAAAAGGCGACAATCAAAACCGATTCATATAGCAAATGTTGAGCTTAAAACAGTTTTCTTTGATCAGAAGAGGTTTGGTGATCTGAACTAAAGAGAAAGTAGAAATTTCATAGGACTAGTAAAAAGGACACTACGAAGAAAAGAACTGAATTGATTGGAAGTAAGGCTTCTTCTAGTAGGGCTTGGCATCAGTCATGGCTTTTCTTATGAAGACTATAATTCAAAAGGTTGCAGATGAATCGGAAAGCGAAATATATTCCTATTTGATTTCCTTCGGCCACAATCTGCAGCAAAAATGGTGCTTGGCATTCTTTACCTAGGTCGATAGGCCTTCTATTAGAATGTGCTTTGAGAACAAATGTGCTCTTGCTGATGCAGAAGGGAAGCAGCTATACTAAAAAAAAACGCCAGACTATTTTCCGGAGAAAATTTCGATTGCCCTAGCTCCTTTCCAGATGGGAAATATCCGTACTCCGAAGAAGATGTGGACACAAAAAGGCACTGATGAGACTCAAACGCCGTACGAGAATTCAGCTTATGGAACTCCCTGACAATACGGAAAAGACTGGGATTGTTCAATGAGCCTGTGATAGTGCAAGAATCCCGATAGACGAGAAATTCGTCCAGAGGATGATCGTAAGGCAATTTTAACAACAAGAATTTCTTCAGTGGTTTGCAACCATGCATGGCTCACGGATGGAAAGTTTACTGAATGAATTTCTATAATACGTAAAGATTTCTTGCTCGTTTTTTTCCCCAGAAACTAGTTTTTGGAAGGGTAATCGCTATTGATTAACTACTCATATTCGGGCAAAATCCTCCAATTTACTGTCATGCAACTTGTTTATGTATTGAAATTCATACCGAGCTCAACGGAAATATTCTAGTGTTTTTGAAGTTCTACGCATCTTATTGATTTGACAATACCGAAGAACAAATCGCTCGCTCGGGAGGTCTAAGTGGAGCAATTCTACGAATAGGACACTCAGACTAATGCTCTACCTATGTCTGTCTACCACATTTTCGAGCCTCTCGATGGTGAAAATCAGCCTTAAGATTCGAAGAGGGAGAGGTCAATGAATGAACAAACAAACTTAGACAGAAGGTAAAATTCGAGGAGCAGCCACCCTATTGATTCTTGGTTTTGCGGCGCAACAGAATTTCCTTACTTTCAATTCTGTCTGCTGCATCTTATCAGAGTTGTTCCAAATGTTCACCAGTAGACTGGGGTGGTCACGCTTATCAGGGACCAGAGTTGGGAAAAATGATTCGAGGAACGTTAACTGCCTTTGTTCAGCAAACTATTCAGAAGTTTGAGCTAATGGAAAAGCAAAAACTTCCTCATGCGATAGGTTCCACTTTGTCAGCGGTTGGTTGCAATTGGGCACGAAAACTTCCGAAAGTCATAAAAGGGCCCTTGGATACTGTCATAACAAGCCAGAGTATGAGTTGGCAATGAGCTCTTTCGTTATTTACTCGACGGATCGATACAAGACGCAAGAATTTCTTTGCCCTTTCTCCAAAGCGCGAACGCTGTCATTGCGGAAGAATGTCTGGAGTAAGAAAAAGGATATTCAGGATGAAAGCCAGTTTATGGAGAAATATAAAGACAGCAGGCCAAACAAAAACTTAAAAAATCGATTTTAAGCAACCTTTGATAGGTAGTATGAAGACCTGATGTGAAATGGAACAAACAGAGAGGTTGCCAACCGCTAGAAATCGAGAAACCTCCCACCCATAGCCGAATGTTTCGACATTCTACATCGCGTGCCTGTGACAGAGAAGATATCATGCCATCAGGTTTGCATTTATTTTTACATTTTTGATTTGCCTCATCCATTATTCATAAGGATCCCGACTTAGAGGCAATCTCACCCACGCGTAGAGGCAATTAAAGTCAATTTTCAATGTTCAGCAGACGCCTATACTTAACTATGCTGTATAACATCGCTGAGGCTGGGGAAAACTATGCAAATACAACGATGATGTAACGGTTGATACGTATGTCTAGAATGCTCTGGGCCCGGAATCAGTCCTTTGTTGCTCCGCTTCCGAAACATACCCCAGACTAGACCCTCGTTCAAAATTTGGATTGCTTTCCAAACATGTATTTAGCTTCTGAAGGCCAACGTAGAAGTGCCTTTATCTTCCCAAAGGTATTATATCCGTAACTGAGGATGGAAACGTCACTTTCACTTATGTAGTTATGGTCATATAATGGTCGTAGGTGGTTACTGCTTGAGACCATGTGCTCAGTCTCTGCTTGATAAGGAATAAAGAGAAGGAATGCTCAACTTCACTTTAGTTTTGGTACGATTACTCCATTAATTTGACTCGAATCTTCTTCCCCCTCCCCTTCTAGAAATCATTACAAGTATAAACGCACTGTACTACGCAGGCACTACACAATATCATTCAAGAGATACTTTTTGATCATAAGAACCGTTCCACAGCCGTTCCTACCCTTACCACCATCAAGGCGGTTGGTCTTAGTGGTAAACCAACTCCACTGCTAATCCCTGGTGTTTGATAAGAATATTCTGGAGGTAAACTCTTCCACTTTAGAAATATTGAAAAAAAATTTCAAATAAAATTAGAATAAATCCCTTTACAAAAATAAAAAATTTATAGCGTTCTGATCTGTTCAGCAGAATTCGACTGTTATAGAGAAAATCACAGCAAATCACTTGCGTTGAGCTCTAACAAAAAGCGGAACCAATTTGTGATTAACGGTGTCCGTGCAAGTTTGAAGCCAGCAAATGGAAAGCGATGGGAAGGGAAGGCTGTGCAAACAGCAGGGATTGATAGCGAGATTTCAAGCGCGTGGCCGTGGTGAACCAAACAGTCAATTGCTGATATGAATGTTTGTTTTGTTTGTTGTTTTTCTCGTGAAATAGTACATATCACTTTGCAAAATTCTCTCAAAGGCTGATAAGGTTTGAAAAAAAAAAGAAATTGATGGATAAAACTTCGTACCTTTTCAGGAGATCAATTCTTTACTCTGAAAAGGAGCTCGATGTTATCTTACACCACATTCTTTTAATTAGGATCAGTTTTTATACCGCTCCCTTGGATTGCTTAACTGGACCCGCCGGATAGGCAAAGACGAGGTCTAAAATGGATTAGGAATTCTCGTGGTCCTAATTGAGAGTCGTCTTTAGGATGGACCTCGAAATTAGGGTAATTTGAAATCGATTTGACTACAGTACTCACCTATTTATTTAATTATTATTTATTTATTTCAATGAGGTCAACCCATTTGATCCCCAGTACTCATATTTTCCCTAATCAGCGCTATTTCACATTTTCCGCAATCTCTGCTTACACAGGAGCGGAAAATTCCCACACCATTTCTGTCAAAGCATTTACGAGCACTTTTTTTATGGCTCAGGCAACCGACTCTACAGTATCCACCAGTGTATTTCAAGAGCAATCGAAACGGAAAGGTTTATACCCGATACTACAGAATTGTCGGTAAAACGGCACTGCTTAACAAAAAGCTGAGATTCGAGCCAGCATCTCAATGTTTTCCTCTGGACAAAAGCAGTAATCACTCTAACTTCCTGGCCGTTTCTCAGACTCGACGCTGCTGAGCTGTATAGGTATGCAAAGTAGCTCAGAAAAAGCCGATCAAGACTCTGTCCGGCGTTGAACGGAATTACTCTTTAGAGGGAATTCATTTGATTAGTTTCGGCTGTCCGAAAAAGTGTCTAGTACGACTTGAGAGATTGAGCAAAAATTATTCGAAAACCAGTGAAGGACAGAAGTTTCACAGGACATCAGTTTGATTCTAATGTTTTTAAACTAAACAGATCAATAAACTAAATAGATCGATCTAATTCGAATGGATAGATATGGGCAAATAG